TTCAGAATTTAAATTTGATAACAGCATATACCTGTTATGTCCATAATATTCGCTTTGATTTTACAATATTGTCTATTTACAACTGAGGCTAAAAAAGTTAAAAGTAAAAAACACACCGAACGTTTTCGACAGTAGGTCATCTTCAGGGTACGTAGGGGTAAGTCTCAGGGTAAGTCCTCACTTACCCTGAAGATGACCTCAGGTGTCCAAAATGTTCGGTGTGTTTTTCACTTTTAACTTTGTTAGCCTTGTAAATAGAAATTATACACCTGTTAGTTTTGCATTTTCTTGAGACGTTGATACTTAAGACATCCTACATGTCTTCGTGCATTTCATGTCTCTTACTACATGTATGGACAGCCATGGTAGTATGTCAAATCTCCAGCCGTGAGATGTCATCAGTTGATATCTTTTTCCCTTTTCTTCTTCCATATATAGGGCGACAATGAGCTCTTGGGTAAAAATTCTTTCAGTGATTGTCATTTGTCTTTGTGTTATTCACCTGCGAGCTACTTCAGCGATTGGAAACGAGTCCACCCCTGACAATGAAGACGGAGTCGACGAGGACAAGCTACACATGCCAGAGAAAGATCTGATAATAGGCTGGATTGAGAAGCCTCCATACACAACATCACCCACCAATGAATCGATAGACGACGAAGTCCATGGTATGCTCAGAGACGTACTCTTGCGGTACATAACAATGGAATGCGATGAACATGCAGACGAACCAACAAAGTACCATATAAAAACATTTCGAGCTGATAGTGAATTTCACATGATTGAGCTTCTGAGGCAAAACAAAATCCACGTCGCTGCTCCTATATTCGAGTCCAGAAACCGACGGTACAACGAATTTTCCTTTTTCAAAATCACTGATTATCCTGGGAGCGGGTTCATCACTAGTGAAGATGAAGCCAACAAGCTCAGCCTTGTCTTGGACGCTGTGTTGAAGTCTTGGTCATTGTTTGCGGTGACTCTGATACTCACGGCCATTGCTGGAATCATTATGTGGGCGCTGGTATGCTTAACTTTGTGTAACTAGATTAATATAGGTAATTGTAAGAATGCAAGCTCATCTAAAGATTTACTCTGGAAGTGATATTTGAAAAGTCTCTCCAAATTACACGAACTCTTACTCGAGTATAACTAGTATAAAATCAAACGTAATCATAGCAAATCGCCTTGCCACTCGATCGTTTTTGTTTTTGTTTTTCTTATGAACTGACAGGAC